GCAGCGCCCCGCGCGCCCGCTGCCTCGCCTCGGGCTGCTCGGCCCCCGCGCGGGCTCCCCAGACGGGGGCCGACTACAACTCCCGGCATCCCCGCGGGGCCGTCGGGCGCGCGCCCTGGGAAGCCGCCGCGGAAGGACGCGTGCCCGCTGGTGCCCGGGGCGACGATCGCACGTGGTGGCCGTGGGGGGCCGGCCCAGAAAGGGCTCCCTGCGCCCGGCCAGCCCTGGGGGCATGCCTGCTGCTCCGGCCGGCCGGTGTGGCGCGCGGGCGACCGGCCGACCGGCCGAGCCGTACTCCGGCCAAAGATGTTCCGAGATGCCTGCGGGGGGGGGGGGGGCACCTCCGAGTCAGCCGCGCAGGCCGCCCGCCCGCGCACCGGGGCCGCTCCGAGCTTGCCCCAAGCCGGAACTTTCCCTCGCGGCCAGAAAGGCGAAGCCGGAGGAGGCCGCCATGCCTCCCGCATCACGAGGAGGCCAGACTCTTCGGAGTCATCAGCCAGGCTCGGGGAAGTCGAAGAAGGGAAGGGCAGCTCCGCGATGGATCCCGGCCATAAAGGAAGCCCTGCAAGAGCTGAGCAGGGTCCCAGAGTTCCGGACGCGTTGGAGGGTTGCCAGGAATCGGCATGTTGCAGCAGCAGCAACAACAACACTAGCAAGTGTTCTACCTCTTCAACGTTAATTAATCTCTGTTTTTAAACCATTGATTGGGCTTGACCCAAGCAAATCAACTCCAGTGGTGCCTCTGCTCACGAACTTAATCCATTCCACGATTCTGGTCACAACCCGAAGTGGTCGTGAACCAAGTCAAATGTCCCCATAAGGTTCAATGTAAATAAGGTTTATCCGTTCTGAACCATAACTTTACGTTATACATAAAGGACAGCATATAAAAGTTATAAATAAATAAATGCGGTTTTTTTAAACCGCAAAAATACGAGCCACGTCCCTGGGGTGCCGGCCAAGCCACAGCCGCCTCGCTGAACCTGGGGGTGGAGGGGCTCCCACGCCTCCGCGGCGGCCTTCTCAGGGCAAGTGCCGAGCGGCCGCCATGCTTCTTCCCCCCGTGGTGGGGAGAGGCGGGAGGCTCCCCGCTCGGCCAGCCGCGGGCCGGACCCTCGCCTCCCCCACGCCCGCCTCTACGGCCTCCCACTCCCGGAGCCGGCCGGCGCCTGCGAGGGGGCCTGCCTGCCTGCCTGCCTGCCTGCCTGCCTGCCTGCCTGCCTTCCTCCGGCTCGGAAGCGGGGCAGCCGGGAAGGCCTCAGCGGAGGCGAGCGCGCCTCATGGCGGCCCCTCCTGGTGGGTGGGGAGGAGTTTGGCGTGCTCGTGGTCATCACCCGATGCGGAGTTGGCGAACGGAGGCAAAATTTTTCCGAAATTTTTGTTTGTGAACCGAAGCGTTCGTGAACCGTGGTACCACTGTACTTTCAGGGCACCAATTTCAACAGGAGAGTTGAACGCCTACTGAACTCTTCCCCTTGGAAATCAGTGGGACTCCACCCTTTCAAGCCCAGGGCCTGGATGGTGGTTGTTGTCGCCTACGGCAAACCTCCGTGAGGAGGGCGCACACCGAAATAGCCCTCCAATTCAGGCTAGTGGCTTGAGGAGGGATTGGAAATGCCCTTTCTTAACTCATGTTGCTGTTTCAGTGCTGGGAAGTGCAAAACTTTGCCCCAGATTGTTGCAGAATTTTCAACATTTCCCCCACACAACTTCCTGCATTTGTTAATTGTTTTGTGTTTGTTTGGCACGTTGTTTCATTTCCCGTTTCTTAACCAAGCTGATTTATACATTTACTTTGTTTTAAGAGAAAAAGCCCTTTCTTTCCAAGCTGGAAGGGCTGGCAGAAGGCCCTGGGCTGGCGGAGGCCAACCGCAATCCCCGCACCGCGTGCCACATGAGGAAGCCGACTGGGGCGCCTCCAACACAGCTCCTTGGCGGGGTCTCTCTCAGAAGGGCCTCCGGAACTCACGGGCTGGGTAGGTGCATATGGGCCAAGCCGTTTAGGGCTTTACCTGTTAGAACAAGCCCCTTAAATTGGGCCTGGAGCTCAACTGGTAACCAGTGAAGATGGTGCAGTATCGGAGTCACGGCGGCGCACAGTTCTGCTCACACCAGCTCTGCCCTACTTTGTACGAGTTGAAATTTCCAGACTGTCTTCAAGGGCAGCCCCACGTAAAGCGTGTTACAGTAGTCCAGTCAAGAGGTCACCAGAGCGTGGGTGACCAGGGCTTGGCTCTACCTGTCCAGGTAGGGCTGCAGTTGGTAAATTAATCACAGCTGAGAGAAGGTGCTCTGGCCACTGAGTCCACCCGAGACTCAAGTGATAGCAGGAGCACCGCCAAGCTACAGACCCTGTCCTTCCAGGGAAGTGTGACCCCATCCGAGACAGACTGAAGGCCCACCTCTGGGCAGATGGACCATCCACCAATAGCACATCTGTCTTATCTGGACTGAGCTTCAATTTGTTGACTAACATCCAGTCTATTATTCATCACTCAGCCAGTGATTCAGAACGGAAACTGCCTCACCTGGATGAGAAAGAGGTGTAAAGCTGGGTGTCATCAGTGTGCAGATGACAGCTCAGCCCCCACCTCCGAATAACCTCCCCCAGTGGTTTCATGTACATGTTGAACAGCATGGAGCCCTGAGGAACCCCATAGTGTAAGCTCCATGGGGCAGAGCAGCTGTCCCCCTGCACCACGGTTGGCCAGGAAGGAGTGGAACTGCTGTGATGCAGTGCCCCCAGCTCTCAACCCAGCCGAGAAGGACACTGTGGTCGACGGTGTCAAAAGACAAGGATCAAGTGACCCAGTGGTGGCACAAACAGAACCAAGTACCTTGGCTACTTCATCCGGCTGCGATGACTGAAACTTGTCCATCAAAGTCAGACAAGATGGCACTCTGGACACCTCTCTCAATGGGACTAACTCAACTGTGGAGTCTAAATTGTGGTGAATCAGAGCGAATTTGTCTTCAAAATGGTGTGTAAATTCACCACAACAAACCACCAAGGATTTCGTGGTCTCAGTACATGTCCCAGTGGGTTGGAGACCCCAAACCACTTGGAAAAGTGTGGACACCGTAGAAGTGCCAAAATATTGATGCTTTGCCACTTTTATTGCTACAGAGTAGTCCTTATAGTGGCCTGTAAGCTGGGTTTGGTTAGATTCTTCTCCTTCACCTACGCTCTGGCTTCTTCTCTCGTGCTTCGTTGCCCTAAGAGGGGAAACAGCCCAGCCACAAGGACAGGTGCCCGCAAAACCTGGCGCTGGCACTGCCTCATGGCAGGAGAAAAAAGGTGATCCCTCGTTGGCTCGCCCCCCCCCCCAGACCCATGCAACTTGCAAGACCGTCATTTCTCAGTCACCCAATAGCCAACGCTCTCTGGGAGACACCACCTTCTTTTTGTGCTGCTCTGTTGAAATGCGCTCCGATCCTGCCCCATCTGCCTGTCTCTCCTTTTGTTGGCCGCTTTGCTACAAGAAAATGTTCAAAGGAATGTGTAGTGAAACCAGGAGAGTGATTTAGATCTGCAAAGCCAGGAGAATCCCAGGGGCTGCTGGAGTCAGTTATGGGAGGTTGTTTCAAACCCATTAGGGGCATGCAAACGTTTCAGCGCAAAGGTTATTTCAAGTATGACTGGCTTCCTTCCGGTCTTAACCGTCAATGGGCTCCATCTGAAAAACAGAAGCTGAACGCAGCCCCAGAACTGTATGCTGTGGTACGAAACCGTTGAATCAAACACCTCCACAAACCAGTTTAATACATTCCCTGAAACTACCCTGGAAGATTTCCATAGAATTGTACTTGAGCATCACGTCACTTCAGAAAGCCTGGGGAGGGGGCGATCAGCATATCCCCCTCCCCACAGCCTCCCAGAAAGAGATGGCCCTGAGGGGTTTGCAAGAGCTCTTCCCCTCGTCCTCCCTTCCTCCCTCCTTCACTTGCAGTGAGGTTTTTAAGTACGGTGAGCCCCGTCCGTCCGTGGATGTTTGGCTTCCTTGCTCCGTTTATACACCCTCCACCCCAACCTGCACCAGGCACACCTGGAAGAGCAGGCTCCATTCTGGCCGGACCTGCCCGGCTTCCCCTTGGATCTTGTAACTGAGCTTTCGCGTGTCGTCTTCGTGACCCCAAACCTTTTGCAAGGTCTCACATGCATTAGCGCTTCCAGCAGCTGCCAGGTTTGAACACGTGCCTTCCCAGCTGTTGTGAAGCTTGCGTTGCCCTGCCGGCAGCTGCTCTGGGAATGTGGAAACTTCTCCCAAAAATGTCAAGGGGAGTAAAGCGGAACAAGTGGCGGCTGCAGCTGACGCCCCGACTGTGCGCCTCCCAGCTGACCTGCAGGACAGCTGCCCACAAGTGCCGGCATGATCTCAGAGTCATGGCAAGGGGCTAGTCCCCAGGGCCAAGAGTCTAGCCCGGTTAGCGGCACAATAAAAATATTAAGAGTTCGTGCAAGTTGCCTTTTAAAAAGCCCCCCACACTCAGAAGTACGCTCTGCTTCTCCGAATCTGCCGCGTCACCCTTTGGGATAAAAGGTGGCATTGCGCCTTTCCCTGCTGAAGTCGGCCTGGGCGTCCTCACTCTCCGCCACTTTCGGTCAGCTCCCCCCTCCAGTGGTGGTGCAGGGGCCTGCTCTGCTCTGCTCTGCTCTGCCTGCCACGCCACGCCACGCCTGCCCTAAGTGCTCTGCTGACTGCCAGAGCGAGCCAGGCAGCCATCACTTATTTATGATGGGCTTGGCCGGGCCTCTTTTAGAGGGAGAGAGGAGTTGGCAGCAGGCAGCAGCATCACTGTTCCAGGAAGTGCTGAGCCGGGCAGAAGCTCTCGGAGCGTCACTCCCAGCCTCATGAGGCAGCCACCGTGACTTGCCTCTCGCTGGGGTGCTTGCAGTGAG